AAAAAAGTGGGGTGCTGAACAGTGGGTAGGGAAGTTTTAACGAAAATGAAAACTAAAATGGGACTTATACTTAAATTCAGAAAAAGATAGTTGTGTAGATAATGGAGAATTTAACCCTCAGAGGAGATACTGAACACAAGAGTGGCAGAGAGAAACATCATCACTTATCTAATTCTTTTGTGTGATAGCATAGCAGGGACAAAAAAGGGATGGTAAAAAGATAAATGTTACTTAAATCTACGTGAGATAGGAAGTGGTAGAGAGCCATGATCACTCATGTACTGAAGAGACATAGCACATAAAAGATATCATTTTTTTTAAAAAAAACTTTTAATTTTTTTTTTTTTTTTTATATATTTGCTAATTGAAGACCTGGGGTGTAGGACAATGATGTGTCTTCTCACAAGACTTATTTAACCCATTCAGTGAGATGATTCTGAGTGAATAAGAATTGCTACCAGGATTCACTATTGACAGCCACAATCATATCAAGATATGCAATGTTGATAGCAGTCATAGAAAGGAAACTAGCAGAACTCTTACAGAAGGCAATGAAGGGAAGCAAGAAGAAAGCACCAGGCATGAAATTGGAGATACCAAAATAAAATCAGTAAAACAATTTAAATATCTGGTAAGTATTTAAACGGAGAACTGAAAGTGTGACATTGAAATCCAAAGACAAAAGATGCTTTCCAAAACTGAACAAAATATTAAGAAACAAGAAAATTTTATTAGAAACAAAGAAAAATATACTGAACTGTTACATAATATCAGTCCTCCTATATGGCAGTGAATGCTGGACAATCTCCTGACAGCTGAGGAAGAGACTTGAAGCAACAAGAATGTCTTTCTACAGAAGGATGCTGAGAATACCATGGACCGAACACATGAGCAATGACGGTTTTAGAGAAAATGGAAGCAAAAAGGACATTTATATTAACAGAAAGAATCAAATTTCTAGGACACATCATGAGGAAAGAGGGTTTGGAAAAATTGATGCTCACAGGATATATTGAAGGCAAGAAGGACAGTGGAAAACAACATATAACCTATTTCACGAGCTTGTGCAAATGGATGGTGGGAAACAGTTGTAGGAGAGATAACAAAAAAACAAAATTTATTAAGAGCTCTAAAGGACAGGAAATTGTGGAGAGCTATGATTGCATACACCCTGAAGGACATGACACAGAAAAAAATTTGAAGACTATCAGTTGAGAATATTGTGATAAAAATGGAAAGTAATAAAATAAATTAAAACTAGTAATGAGATAAAGATGATACTACACCAGAAATGACTTCTGGTCTTAATTGTAAATGTTAACGAGTACAGGTTTTATCTTGGGGAACGAAAATGGACTACAGTAAATATCTTGTTCAGTACAATAGATTTGTTTGTGTGTTTCCTGACCCTAACTGTTAGGAGCTGAGGCACTGTGCATCTCTGTTCATGAGTGGGTGTGGAGCATCATGACCGGGTGTCAATTTTTTTTTTTCTTTTTAGTTTGATGGATAATGTAGCTAAGGTTACTTGGGAGTCATATCTAAATTCTTCAAGACATCTTCAAGTCTAAGACTGTTTAAGCAGACACTGTTTATCTGACTTGAAGTTATTTGCCACTGGGCCCCACCTGTAAGGTTATGTACTGCTCTTATCAAAATCTGTCTTCATATTGCGCACAGTTGGCTGTGATGCATGTGCTCAGTATACTTTTATCTGATTGGGTGTCATGTTGGGTACATTGGGATTTGTATATTTGCCATTTAGTTGGCATGCTGCTCTTTTATCCATTAATACCAATGAGGTGTTAAATTCAGTTAGGGTGAAACTAGTAATAAAATAATAGCGAAAATGTTATTTTTCTACACTGAAAAAAAAAAGAAAGAGGAATATTAATAATACAATAGCTTCTGAGTTTATGGAACTATATATATATATATATATATATATATATATATATATATATATATATATATATATATATAAAAACACATGTTTTGTCATCTGATGGACTTTCTCAAGGTAAATGTAAAGATTTTATTTTGCAACATGTATTTATAAACAGAAGTAAAAAAAATATTAATTTTTCAAAATTTTTATATTTAAAAGACTCAAAAATATTCTTAAGGCTAACAAAGTCAAAATAAGCTATGGAAGATACTAAGTGAAGAAATTTTATACTTAATAAATGAAAGTGAGAAAATGTTTAATTTGTTTTTATATATATATATAATATATATATATATATACACACACAAAAAAATGTAATCATTATTGATTATTTTAATTGGATAACTTATTTATTTTAAATAATAGGTTTTTTATTTAACTATTTGCTTTTAATATTGAAAATCTAATATTTTTTTTTTTACTTCTGTTTATAAATACATGCTGCCAAATAAAATCATTTTAGACGATGTTTGCAGATAGATGAATATTGTAGTTGTAGATGAAACATTCTAAGAAGCACAAAAGCAAACTTATATTTTTGTAGTTTGGAAATGTAGATGATAAAAAAAAAAAAACAACCTGCCCTTGCAGAAGCAATTTGAAATATGCATATGATTTTTCTACCACCTGATGACATGCACTTGAGATTTAGATTATTACACTGTCTTCTACTGTGTTAAATAGACTAAGCACTTGCTTGGGGTATGGGTTATTTTTTTTTTTTTTTTTCATTTCTGCCCTACTTTTTTTTTAACTTTTTCCTCTTTTTCTTTTCCCCTCCAACTTTTCCAAATTCTCCCTTTTTCCTCTCTTTCTTTCCCCTTTTTCCTCTCTTTCTTTCCCCTTTTTCCTCTCTTTCTTTCCCCTTTTTCCTCTCTTTCTTTCCCCTTTTTCCTCTCTTTCTTCCACTTTTTCCTCTCTTTCTTTCCCCTTTTTCTCCTTTTTCCTCTTTTTCCTCTCTTTCTTTGCCCCTTTTCCTCTTTTTCATTGCCTCTTTTGCTTCTTTTTCCTCTTTTTCTTTCCCCTTTTTCCTCTTTTTCTTTCCCCTTTTTCCTTTCTCCTTTTTCCTCTCTTTCATTGCCCTTTTCCCTCTTTTTCTTTGCCCTTTTTCCTCTTCTTCTTTGCCTCTTTTCCCTCTTTTGCTTCTTTTTCCTCTTTTCCCTCTTTTGCTTCTTTTTCCCTCTTTTTCTTCTTTTTCCTCTCTTTCTTTTCCCCTTTTTCCTCTTTTTCATTGCCTCTTTTCCCTCTTTTGCTCCTTTTTCCTCTCTTTCTCCTTTTTCCTCTCTTTCTCCTTTTTCTCTTTTTTTTTTGCCCCTTTTTCCTCTTTTTCTTTGCCTCTTTTCCCTCTTTTGCTTCTTTTTCCCCTTTTTCCTCTTTTTCTTTCCCTCTTTCCTCTTTTTCTCTGCCCTTTTTCCTCTTTTTCTCTGCCCTTTTTCCTCTTTTTCTCTGCCCTTTTTCCTCTTCTTCTTTGCCTCTTTTTCCTCTTTTCCCTCGCCCCTTTTTCCTCTTTTTCAATGCCCCTTTTTCCTCTTTTTCAATGCCCCTTTTTCCTCTTTTCCTCCCCGCTTTTCTTGCACCTCTTTTCCTCCCACCCTTCTTTCTCTCTAATAATTTTTTCCTTAATTTAAACTACCTGTTAGCAAACTTTTTTTTTTTTTTTAAATTTGTATTTAGTAATTTTTTTTTCTATATGTTAATTGTATAATTTTTGTTATCATTGTTTATTTTTCACAACTCAATATGAATTCCTTTGACACTAAAATTTAGCAAATTCAGTCAGACTTCTTACCTCCTCTTCAGGTAATACAGGGTGACCACTGAAAGACTGAATGATATAAAACAAAAATAACTTTTACAAACACATGAATATTTTGGGCTAGTAATGTTTGGAACATTTGAATCCTGTATGGAAACCTTTTTAAATCCAGTTTCAGAATCTTCTGAAACGATGTCCTGGTGATGACTAGTTGTGCAGAGCTATGACGGGTAGAAGCTGATGGATCCTCAAGGACACTCTGCCATACAGCTTCCACTGCTGCATCAGGGCATTTAGGTCCTCTTCCTGGAAGATAGCTGACTGATCCACTTATTTCAAACTGGGTGATTTGGTTCCAAATCATGTTATCGCTAGGAGATACTCTGACATTAAAATGTTGCTGGTAGTTTCTCTGAGTTTGAATAATTTTGATCTTTTATTGGAATAGAAAAACGATGAATTTTACTTATTGCTGGGCATCAGATGTGGCCATTTTTAATCTCCAAGAGATGCTCTATAACCTGCAAAAAAGAGAAAATAAAAAGATTGAAAACTAACAAGTTATGACTTTTCCAAATCCTTCAGTTTCTCAGTAGCCACCCTATACTTGTTTTATTTTTTTTTGGGGGGGAGGGGTGTCTAACCATATAGCCATATATTGATTTCTTTTTTTTTAAATGGACTTTTAAATGGACAAAAATGAAAGTGCTAATTTGAAGGATGTGTGCAAAGAATATCTTGGTTAAAAAATAAAAATAAAGGGTGCTTTCAGCAAGAAAGAATATGTTACCTATTATAAATTTTGTGGACATTTGTTGATATGAAAGGTTGAAATTTGGTGTAAAAGTAATTTCTTAATAATGGTCAGATGTTAAAATAGTTGCATAATTCAAGAAATTAATATAAAACAATTAGATTTTTTTTTTTAATGAAAGTAGTTTTAATTCTAAGTTCTATAGAAAAAAAAAAGAAATCTAAGGATTATATTTGTAACAAATTTTGTTTTCTCATTTTTTTCACCTTTAGTCTTTTTCTTTATTTATATTCTTTTTGTCAATTTTAGTTTTATTTCTTTTTATTTGTTTCTTTGTTTTTCTTTTCCACTTCTGTTATAACAATGTTTTATTTCCTAATTTTATTACCTTTAATCAACACCTTGCTTCACCTCACCTGTAAGTGATGTTTAAGAAACTTTGAAATAATCTTGCTTTATATTCCTCCCTTCCTGCCTCTAATTCTGTGACGTAACCAAAATCTCTCCATTTGTCTTTCCAGAACAACGGCTGGACTGTATGCATGAAGTGTGAAACATACCGCCCACCTCGAGCGCACCACTGCAGAGTGTGCCAAAGATGTATACGAAGGATGGACCATCATTGTCCATGGTAAGCTTTTATTTTTGTTTACAAATTTAAAAAAAAAAAGAAAAAATAACTGTTTAATAAACATATCCGCAAAAAATGGTGCGTCAAAAAGGATGTTTTTTTTCTCTTGACGCCACTATGACTGTATATTTCCTCAGCAATTTATATTGTTTTGGAAACTTGTTTTTAGAATACAATGCAAACATAAGAAATTGGATTTATACGTTCTCTTTGTTCTTGAGAATTGACAACAAAAGTATTAAACACTATTTTTAGATGGTTTGGAGTATTGAAGAAGACAGAGCTACATGGCTGAAATGTTGTGAATATGACAATAAAGATGAGGACAATAGTCTGAACAATGTAAATGGTGTAAATAGCTACAATACAAATTATTCTTGTAAATAGTCTAATAAACAAATAGTGTTTAACATTTTTGTTGTCAATACTCCAGAGAAAAAAAAAAAGTATTAGTCCAGATTATTGCAAGCTATTTTAGTGAATTTATGTTAAGAGCAAATGAAAGAATTGCCCAGAAAATACATTTTTTCAAAATTTATAATTACAGTTTATTTAAATTTTCTTTTCACAGACATTTTTAGAAATTTATGAACCAAAGAATACAAATTTGTTTTCATACGTATTTTTTTATATGGTAAATAATAAATATTGCATTGTGTTCACATATTTTTATGAAATGATTCTTGTAAATAAACAATGAAATAAAATGGTCTTTAATTAATTCTTTATTGTCTGTTCTCAAGACAAAGAATAAATGAATCCAGTTTCATGTATTTGGATTTTATTAAAATTTTGAAAACAGTTTTTTTTTTTTAAAAACCATTCTTTTGATACAATGTTTTTTGCAGGTACTTTGTTTAGGCTCATACCAATCTCTGTAGGTTATTTAATGCTGAAATCTAAATATTTTGAATACAATTTTTGGCTTCAATTACATATATTTTGAATGCAATTATATACCTTCAACTACAGATAAAATGTATTGTTGGTCATTTTGCTATAAAATGTATTGTTGTTAATTCTATTATAAAATCTATTACTGGTCATTTTGCTTTAAAAATGTATTTTTGGCAATTCTACTATAAATAAGTAGTGTTGGTAATATATTTTATATAAAATGTATTGCTGGTATTTTTACTATAAAAATGTATTTTTATACTTTCATAGTGTTTTGTTTTTGTTTGGGGTTCACTTTAGCTGCTACCCTAACAGATGCTATCACTCCAAATCAGCGTGTACTTGGGAACAGCAGGAAGTAAGAAGTGGTTCCATGCTCCTCAAAACCTCCATCAGAGGTCTAGCTGCCGGATGTAGTTTGTCATGCTCAGGACTGCTGTACTAGAGTTATCTCCCGTGCACTTTCAATTCATTTATATATATATATATATATATATATATATATATATATATATATGACATGTGATTGATTGATTTGTTTTTTACAGCGTATCAACATTTTTGAAGTTATTAAAAGCTGAAGCATTTTGGGAGATAATAATTTACTATTTGACCCATAGCTGGGAGGAGAAGAGGTGGATTCATATCTTTCTCAAGTGTATTTGTGTTTAAGTGAATATAACAAACCTAATGGGAATTGGAACTCTGCTCTCCAATTTACAGTTACAGACCAGGATCCATTACACTACTTGCAGATCCAAGCTTAAAGAACCTGGTATTCTTCAGTGGTCACCCATCAAGATACTGATCAGGCTTGATATTGCTTAACTCCAGTGATTATAGGATTTCAACATGATGTGGCCGTAAGCCACCTTTTGTTAAGTTTTACTTGTAAAGAACTGAAAATTTATTTCTGTCTTCTGGAGCTCTGATAACGAAATGATACTTAAATGATGGAACTTGTGGAAATTATCTGATGGTGATTTTATTTTGGCTGTGCCAAATATATATTCTCTTCAAAATGTTTTCTCATACAAAGATGCAGTGCTGTGGAGTCTGAGTCATGGAGTCAGAAGCAATTAAGGGGTCACTAGAGTCGGTAAACTATACCGACTCTGAATCCAGTTGACTTTACACTTTATGTAAAAACATTATAGAATTTTTAATTTTTATTTCTTCTATTGGATATTTACTATTTCCTTTAAAGAAATTCGTCTCAACTTTTTTTAAAGTCATTTCATTTTTTGTAGTTATTTTGTATTTGCAAACTATATATGTAAAAAAAAAATCTTACATTATAGAATTTTTATTTTTGTTATGTCTTTTTCATCCTGCAAAAGATTATATTTCAACTTTTGTAGTTTTTGTTCTGTACTTATTTCTTATTTGCAAAGATATATATATATATATATGCTAAAATGTAAGACCTATATATATATATATATATATATATATATATATATATATATTATATATATTAGCATTTTTATTGTTATTTCTTCTATATCTTTCAAAGATTTTGTCTCTAATTCTGTTAGAAGCTATTGACGAATGAATAGCTATGATATAAAGACCACAATATCTTTATTCTTTTATATAAACCAGTTATAATGATATAGGCTTACTCAAGTTAGGAACATATGCATAAAATTTGAGATTTGTAGGCCACAATCACGGAATTGGAGACAAAGATGACTTATTGACAGAAGTGCAGATACACCTTTACTTTGCTTACTGCCACATTCCTTGTTAATATTTTTTGTGTTCTTTAAATATTCTAAACATTATAAACATTTTCTAGAAAGGATAGGATAATGATATGCTCTATTCAATCTCATCTATGTGCCATATCTATTCAGGATATGAGGAATTATGACTATATTAGTGGTACCCAAAATTATTGTTAAAGAGAGAGAGAGAGAGAGAGTCACAACCAGAACATCTTCCATTTTGTAGAAAGGATAGGATAATGATACGCTCTATCCAATCTCATCTATGTGCCATATCTATTCAGGATATGAGGAATTATGACTATATTAGTGGTACTCAAAATTATTGTTAAAGAGAAAGAAAGAGAGAGAGAGTGTCACAACCAGAACATCTTCCATTTTGTAGAAAGGATAGGATAATGATACTCTCTATCCAATCTCATCTATGTGCCATATCTATTCAGGATATGAGGAATTATGACTATATTAGTGGTACCCAAAATTATTGTGAAAGAGAAAGAAAGAGAGAGAGAGTGTCACAACCAGAACATCTTCCATTTTGTAGAAAGGATAGGATAATGATACGCTCTATCCAATCTCATCTCTGTGCCATATCTATTCAGGATATGAGGAATTATGACTATATTAGTGGTACCCAAAATTATTGTTAAAGAGAAAGAAAGAGAGAGAGAGTGTCACAACCAGAACATCTTCCATTTTCTAGAAAGGATAGGATAATGATACTCTCTATCCAATCTCATCTATATTAGTGCCATATCTATTCAGGATATTTTCTAGAAAGGAATTATGCTCTATCAATCTCACTATATTAGTGGTACCCAAAATTATTGTTAAAGAGAAGAAAGAGAGAGAGAGTGTCACAACCAGAACATCTTCCATTTTCTAGAAAGGATAGGATAATGATACTCTCTATCCAATCTCATCTATGTGCCATATCTATTCAGGATATGAGGAATTATGACTATATTAGTGGTACCCAAAATTATTGTTAAAGAGAAAGAAGAGAGAGTGTCACAACCAGAACATCTTCCATTTTGTAGAAAGGATATGATAATGATACTCTCTATCCAATCTCATCTATGTGCCATATCTATTCAGGATATGAGGAATTATGACTATATTAGTGGTACCCAAAATTATTGTTAAAGAGAAAGAGAGAGAGAGAGAGAGAGTGTCACCACCAGAACATCTTCCATTTTGTAGAAAGGATAGGATAATGATACGCTCTATCCAATCTCATCTATGTGCCATATCTATTCAGGATATGAGGAATTATGACTATATTAGTGGTACTCAAAATTATTGTTAAAAGAGAAAGAAAGAGAGAGAGTGTCACAACCAGAACATCTTCCATTTTGTAGAAAGGATAGGATAATGATACGCTCTATCCAATCTCATCTATGTGCCATATCTATTCAGGATATGAGGAATTATGACTATATTAGTGGTACCCAAAATTATTGTTAAAGAGAGAGAGAGAGAGAGTGTCACAACCAGAACATCTTCCATTTTCTAGAAAGGATAGGATAATGATACGCTCTATCCAATCTCATCTATGTGCCATATCTATTCAGGATATGAGGAATTATGACTATATTAGTGGTACCCAAAATTATTGTTAAAGAGAAAGAAAGAGAGAGAGAGTGTCACAACCAGAACATCTTCCATTTTGTAGAAAGGATAGGATAATGATACGCTCTATCCAATCTCATCTATGTGCCATATCTATTCAGGATATGAGGAATTATGACTATATTAGTGGTACCCAAAATTATTGAGAAAGAAAGAGAGAGAGAGTGTCAAAGAGAACATCTTCCATTTTGAGAAAGGATAGGATAATGATGCTCTATCCAATCTCATCTATGATATCTATTCTTCCAAAATTTTGGGATTAAAGAAAGAGAAAGAGAGTGTCACAACCAGAACATCTTCCATTTTGTAGAAAGGATAGGATAATGATACGCTCCTATCCAATCTCATCTATGTGCCATATCTATTCAGGATATGAGGAATTATGACTATAATTAGTGGTACCCAAACATCTTCCATTTTTCTAGAAAGGATAGGATAATGATACGCTCTATCAATCTCATCTATGTGCCATATCTATTCAGGATATGAGGAATTATGACTATATTAGTGGTACCCAAAATTATTGTTAAAGAGAGAGAGAGAGTGTCACAACCAGAACATCTTCCATTTTCTAGAAAGGATAGGATAATGATACGCTCTATCCAATCTCATCTATGTGCCATATCTATTCAGGATATGAGGAATTATGACTATATTAGTGGTACCCAAAATTATTGAGAAAGAAAGAGAGAGAGAGTGTCACAACCAGAACATCTTCCATTTTGTAGAAAGGATAGGATA